ATTTGTGCTTATATGGTACCTTTCACACTGGCTTTCTACTCATCATGCACTTTTTAAAACAAAACAGCAATAGAACACAGATCTAATAGTACAGAACAGACATGATAAAAATCCAGGAACAAAGGCAATGTAAAGGTTCTTACATGACTGGGACCCTCCTTTCACTGGAGTTCTCAGCTGTGTAGAGAGCACGGTGTCTCTGCAGCTGCCTGTGGGTTCCCATCCTGAGCGATGGTGTCAGACACAAGGGTGTCGGAACAGCGAGGCCAGCAGGACTTATGAAAGGACTTATGAAAAAATGCCATCCCTCTGACAAACTCCGATCTCACTGACAATTTAATTCCCTGTCCAGATCGCCACAGCTGTTTTGTCAGTGCGGAACCCTCCAAAGTTTCCCCTTGAATCTTTGCTTTTAAAATTCCATGCAGTTGTGTCTAAGAGTGGGGGATGTTCAGATACACCATCTTGGTTGTACTGAAGGAGCTGCTGGACAGCCTGTCCTCTGCAACATCACTTTCTCTGGACCTTGAAAAGCCCACTTTATTACATAAGGCCAGCAAATGGATTAACTGATGCTGTTTTATCAAATGTCATTGATATGGAGAAAAATGTCACTTGCCTGAATTGGTTGCCAGGTCAAAACAAAACATAAAAACACCCTTCACAGCGCCAAAAGCCAAGCACCCCAGTCTGGCCAGGAAGATTCCTTGTATGTGCCTGGAGGGTGCAAATGCATGTTTGGATGAGTTCTCCTAACACAGTTCCCAACAGTTTTCATAGCCCCATTTGGGTTTGTTTTCCAGGAATTGCTAGGAAGCATCTTTTGGTACCCTTGTTAGTTATCTTACTCCGTGTGTGTCCTGAAAGACCAGCAGGAATGCACTCAGGGTGCCAAACAGAAAATAAAAACAGTGCACACATTTTCAGAAACCCACCAGTAAAATATCAAAGGGCAGCCAACTGAGTCATTGTGTTCCATCTGTAAAGGGGAGCTGAAATACTTCAAAGGACTAAAATGGGTGGGATCTCTCAGGTTTGGAAGCCCAGGCTGCCCTCTGGGGTTCCTAGCAGGCTGTGCCCCTTTCCTTCGGCTCTGCTCCCTTTCCCCCGATCACCAGTTGGTGGCCATCTTGCATTGTGTGCACCCCAGCTAAAATTCTAAATTCTGAAAGTTTGAAAGGCCTTTCCTATGGGCTTACCTACTGGCAGTGAGAGCATGCCCGTGAGATGGACTGTTCCTTCAAGGAAGCCATAGCCCTGAGTGTACAAAGCCAGGCAGGGCTGGGTGGGACATTCTGCAGGGCATCCATTCATGGGGTTGCCATAAGTCAAGCAGAACAGCAAATGCTTGATGATCTGTGAAATCCGGGCAAGACAGCGCTAACAAAATCGGTACCTCCCTGGGTGGATCTTCCTGGGAAGAGCATCCCACAGGCGCTTTGGTTCTGATCCTGCTACCTGGAGTAAGAGTGAACACATTTGCTCCATCTTCCGTACAACAGTCCTTCAGAAATATTGGAAGCCTGCTGGGGTGGGTCAGCTGGGCATCTCCAATCCATGCAGAGCTGCCCAAGGCAATGAATTGCCTGTGCTGGAGCGGAGAGCGGGCCTTTTCCTTCCCTCTCTGTCTCAAATCATGTCGTCCTTTCCCCGCTTCTCCTGAAGAATGAGGTTGAATCACTGAGAGAAATAAAGGCGCCGCCTGAATGAAAGGCTGGCATTTTGTTTAAGTCCAGGCCTCTGTGGTGATTCATTGTATTGCCCTGCACTGAAACAGGTGGTGAGGCAAACTACGATTAAAAAAGAGAGGGAGACGATTATGGAAGTTGTTTTCCTTTGATGTGCCTGCGATCAATAAGAATGTAATGAGTCCATCGTAAAACAAAGTTGGAACGAGGAGAATTGGCCATGTGGAGGGTTCTTTCATTCACATAAATTGAGTCAATAAATACTCCCTTGGTCATGCTGGGATCGGTTAAAGCTTTGTTTGCTGACAAACTTGTGGGTGTTGCAGAGAAGAATAGCCATGAATTATCTCGCACTGATCGCTGCTCTGCAGGGACTGCACTTCTGCTACAAAAGGGCCCAGCGGCACAATCTGGTAACTTTTGCAGAACATGGAGAGTCCTGGCCCTTGGCCATGAGGGATTCTATGGGCATTTTTTTCTTACAGGGAAATGTCACCATGAGGTGGGTGAAGGGGGTGCTACCAGGCCTGAAAGGGAATGGGTTTTTCCCTTTTCACAGTAGCCAAGTACCCCTAGATCCCTTTCTTCGTCATTCATGCCTGGTTAGACCTCATCTGCATATATGTCAGGTATACTGGCACTTTCAGGCTAAGAGTGGCATCCCATTTCGGAGAAGCCCTTGGGGGTTGGATTCCAGTGACGGGCAAGGCCGAAGGCAAATGAGTGGGAACAAGAAACAAAAAGGCCCGCACATTCTAGCTTAAAGCTCTTCCTGCCAGTATCTAAGCCTTAGGAGAGGTATTTCAACCTTTTAGAGTGGGAAGAAAACCTGCACAGCCCCCCCCCCCTCCCGAATGATCACTGGTTGGGAAAAGGCAGTGGGCCCAGAGGAAGGGGGTGAGTCCTTCTGGGGAACCCTGGAAAGCCAGATTGGGAAATTCGTTCCCAAGCCGGAGTTCTGCATTCCTGGTATAAGCCGAGTTAGGTTTTGATGTGCTGCTTTTCATCTAGTTTTTGCAGCAATCTGCATCTTTCAACACATGTTTGCCCTGAACAGCACCTGCCTTTTCATGCCCGTTCCCACTGGAGTGGAAAGAATCCTTCTGAAGTTTGTGGGATCATGTTTACTTTGAACCCCCACCCTCAAAAATCCGGTGTGGCCGCCAGCAACCACCTCACTGCCCAGCCCTAGCGCCAGATGAGCAAGTTCCAAAGCACCTGTCCCAGCAATTCCTCAATGTTGTAAAGAGAAGCGATGTGCAGTGTCGCCTAGTGGGAAGTGGAATAGGCAGCCTGGCAGCGGCTCATTGCCATGTTTTCCTAGGAGTGCCTGGCTGCTGCCAGGGACATTCTGACCCTGAGTATCTCCAGCATCTTTCAGAACCACATAAAAGGAAAATTTATCATCATCCTCTGGTGTCTGAGAAGCCAGTAATAGAAGTGCCCCTCCTCTGTAAAGTATTCTAACTGCAGCCCCAAGGGATTCCATTCTGGCCCGCTGAATATCCCACACAAAACCTTCCTTTGACCCAACCACCAACTGAGGGGGAGGCCTCATGGTACAGGACTGTAGCACATGGAAGAATAACTGGCCAGGGCGGCTTATTTTATATTAGTATTTTTGCTTTTTTAACTTAATGTTTGTATTTTTAATTTATTGTTATAATTATTTTTTTAACTTACATTGTAAGCCGCCCCGAGGCTTCGGCGAATGGGGCAGCATAAAAATGTTTTAATAAATAAAGAAAGAATAAATAAAGAATTGCTTGGTGGGCTCCTGGGTTTTGGACAATTCCCCCCTCCCATTAAGAGAGACTGAAATACTTCCCCAAAATCTTGGTTAGGGGCTGCAAGAGCTTCAGGCTAAAATATACGCACCCACCCCTGGCCTTTGCCACCGGTGGAATGCATCCCCCAACAGCTTCTCCGAAATGGATTTCCAGCCTTGAGCTGAAACAGGAGAGCTGCTTTAGCGTGTCCTCCTGCCCGTGCCTCTTTGGTAGCACAGCAAGTCTGAAATGACATGGAAGGAGCGACTCCGGCAAGGGGCCTGCATCATGCTCTCCTCCCAGCACGACTTTAAACTTCTGTCGTATAAGAGTGGTGCTTCCATTTCCCTTGGTATAGCTGGTATAGCCCTCCCCTCCCCTCCCCTGGCTAAGGTGTCACCACGCTTTCAGCTCCACTCTCACAAGGATTACAAACAATAAAACCGAGGAGTGGAACCTTTTTGGTGGTTGCTCCCCTAAGATGCAGAATTCTTTCACACCCCTTTGTGCTGGAGAGGAATAAAGTTAATGTTCAGATGAGAATGCTGTGGGACACAGATGGTCTTCGGTTGCTTTCCATAGTCTTACACCGAATCATATTATTTGCAATTGTTGGTTACTTCTGATGATGATCTGAGCTGAGAACCATTGCATAGAAAAGCAGTACATCAATATGTAAGCAAAAGCAATAGCTATATCTTCTTAAGTACGTAATATTTGGGTTTTAAAAGGTTGGATCTGGCTCTGTGCACAGTCCATAAGAACCAGCCAGCTTCTTCCCATAACCTACCACTGACCTGAGGTACCGTCTAGACAGAACTTCCCCAGGCCCCATCCCAGTATCCTAGAAGTTTCTGCTGCAGCCATACCTACCCTGACAATATTCCCTAGACCAGCCTAGCGCTTCTGGGTTTTAAATTTTGAAGATGTGATCTCCCTCATCTCCTACTGGAGGTGTTCATGGATGGGACATGCTATTTCTGGTAGATATTTGCTATCCTGGAACAGTTCTAGCAAGGGCACAGAGGTTCAGGTTAGGGGTCACATCCTGCCCTCTAGAGTTCCCAAGGTGCCTTTGCCACCTTCCTGTTTTCCTGATCCATCTTCCCTGATTTTGGACTGCTGTAGTTTCCTTGCCTTTGTGCAGCTCTTTCCCCATTTTAAAAGGTCGATATTCCTTCCTTAAGGCAGTAAGACCATTCCATGAAAACGAGCTGCTAGGTTTGGACTGGTCCTTCGGTGTCCTGTCCCCCCCCCCCTCCCCGCCACCCCCTTGAGAACCTTTCTGAAATGGAATTTGGACCTTGGGCTCAAAGAGGAAGTGGACACAATACCTAGGAAAGGATCCATCCAGCTTCAGTCTGACCAGTCATGCCGTCGCTTAATGCATGGCCTTTTCACAGCTGCGTGGTTCCAACCTCACTCCCAGCCAATTTCCAGTCATGAATGGGGATGGCTATTGATCAGTATTGACATTCGTTTGGCTTTCCTGTGCACTTACCTCTATCCCTCTTTCTTTCCTCCCTCCCTCCCCACCCCCCAGTTTTTTTTGTTTTTTGTTTTTTATTATTAGGAGTAAAGACCAGCACAAAGAAGAATCAGGATGAAAAGATGGCCGACTTCTTGTTACCACTGGGTTCCAACAGCTTCCACCGGTTCACGCCTGAATCCTTGGCTGCGATTGAGAAGCGAATTGCGGAGAAGATCGCAAGAAGCGCCAAACAGGAATACAGGGAACAACTGGCCGATGAGGAAACTCTGCGCCCCCAGTTTGACTTACAGGCCTGCAAGAAGCTCCCCGAAATCTACGGGTCTCCTCCACCGGAGCTCATTGGGGAACCTCTCGAGGACATAGACCCGTTCTTCAGCGATCACAAGGTTGAACCCGACAGCTCTGCACTTATCATTAAAAATGGTGGAGGGACTGAGGAGGAAGCCGATGGATTTTCTCCTGTTCCCCTCACTTTCTCACTGTTTTCTGGTGAAAACAATTCTTCCTTGGCTCAAGGATGTGAGAACGACCAAGGTCAAATTCCCTGTGCTTAATTTTGCCTTTGGGTGACTGGGGCAGAGGTGGAAAAGGGTTTTTTTTAAGGTGGGAGCCACATACCAGTCGGCCTCACCCAGGAACACGTCTCTGTGTGTTGCTGTCGGGATTTTCCAGGGAATACTGCCCTGGTGCTCTTGCTGTGTTGCTGGTGGGCTGCTGAGTCCATGTGTGACTCCATGTCCTTCTGCCAGCATGAGACGTTGCTTAGCCCAACACATCTGGGCAGTACCCTGCTGCAGAAAGTTGGCTGACACCTGCCACATACTGCATCTGTTTCATCCAGCAGGCCTGGGCTTGCTCTGGCTGAGCTGCTGGACTTGTGCTCGGGGGGACCAGGGGAGAGACGAGGAGAGGAGGGGTTAAGCTCTCCTGCCAGCTAAGCCTTCCCCACCCTCACTTTTTATGGTGCTTGGTGGGAACCCAGGCCAGGCCACCTCCCTTGCTTGATCCTCTGGCTCTGAGGAAGAGCACCCGGTGTTTGAGTGAGATGTGCTCTTGTTGACTGTGGGTGAAATGACGCTGCCTTCCTCTTGGCCACAATACGGAGTGGCCCTTTTGTGAACGCACCCTTGGAAAGGTTTGCATGTGGAGGTGAGGAGGGCTGCACATTATTGTCGAAAGCTAAGCAGGTTCCTTGAAGCAGAACAATCCTTGCCGCTGACCAGTGGTAATCGAGAAAAACCATGTTCCTGTCGAGGGAGCCACTGCGGAGGGAAAAGAGATGGATTGGCCTTGCCTAATCTGGTGCCTTCCAGATGTGTTGGAGGGACTACAGGTTCCATCTTCCAGAAGACCATAAGGAGAGAACCTGAACCCCAACCCTAGAGCAGAACCCATCCAGTGCAGCATTCTGCACACACATTGCCCAACCAGCTGCCCATGGGATGCTCAAAAGCAGGACAGGAGAGCAAGAGTACCCTCCTGCCCATGCTCCCCAGCAACTGGTGTGCCGCCTCTGGTACTGGAGGTGCCATGCAACCATCCGGGCCAGGAACAAGCAATACCCTTCTTCTCCATGAATTTGCCCAAACCACAAATGGGTGGATAGTACTATCAGCCAGCAGGCAGATGGTGGCTGTGGGTGATGAGAGTTGTAGTGCACAACGTCTATTAGTTCAGTGCTTCCTGTGGATGGCCTGGGCACACATGCCTTCTGTGTGAAGTCACCGACTTTTTCATTATGGCAGCGCTTCTGTGTCTTTAAAAAGCAGCCTGGCGCGATGAGGTTCTGCTGGTCGTGGCTGGATTTTCGTGCATGTTACATTGCTACTTCTCACTGAGCCTTAGTGGCTGAGAAGCCCTGCCAGGAAGTGGGTGGGGGGTCCCAACTCTGGGGCACGAACATCAAGCTGTGCACAGCTCCGCAATGGCAGGGGTTGGGGGGCTGTTGGTCCCGCTCTTAGCAGGGCTTCTGTCGATGCATGAGGAAGGTAAGCAACGGCAGAGCCGGTTTGGCTCCTGAAATTGAAATAGCAATCTGCAGCTGTGAATAAGCATCCCAAAGAAGGTGCTGTTCTCACTGACTGGGGTGGGGGGAGAGGATAAAGCAGGGCCTTGAGGTACCCAAGGTGTTGGGCGGCAAAGACTATTTCCTGGAGGGGACACCTGTGCCCAGCCTGTTCCTTCGAAGCAGGACCTGTGCAACCTGCCCTTTTACCTGCAGGCTCTTGCCTCATATAGCGCCATCTCTGCCGGTGGACCTCTGGCTTTGCCCCAGCAATTGCATCCCCCTGGCTATTGCAGATCACGTTTTCTTTGAAGGAATAAGATCCCCTGGGCTATTGAACATACTCCTTTGGCCAAGCAACGATGCCTGGCTGGTTCCCCAAGTAAGGAAAGGGATTCTGCAATAGCAGGGACGGAAGTGCTTGGATTGTGGTTTCTGAAGGGTCGTGGGGAAAATGAACTTTTAGGGCACTCCTGAAATGTACTTTCACCTCTCTTTTGTTTTCCAGACATTTATAGTACTGAACAAAGGGAAGACAATCTTTCGATTTAGTGCCACACCTGCCTTGTATATACTTAGCCCTTTTCATCGAATCAGAAGAACAGCAATTAAAATTTTGGTACATTCATATCCTTTCACTCGGATGTGTGTCTTCAGACTGCCACTCGGTACAACATTATGTGGGTTGTGGGAATGCGCTCTTATCGTCTTGCTCCTGTTTGCTCATGTGTATTCAGGCTTGCCACATATTGAGATTAAAAAATGATGGCTTGGATGGGGGTTGGGGGAAGATGATAACGTACATAGCAATGGAATAAAATAAAATCCCATAAGGATCTGTATGAATTCTACAGTCTACATACATGATGGAAATGTTACACCTTTGTCAGTGCAGCATTAAAAAAAGTGTTTGCTTGACTTTACCTGCTTTAATCCTAGACCTGCTCTGATGCCTTTAAACACAGAGCTTCAGCAGGTGTTGATTTGTTGACATTGAGCTTCATGGGGAAAGCTTCACCTCCTGGATTTCTGTCTAATTTAAAGTCTGCTGCGGAAGGCACAGAGCTGAGGAAATCTCCAGAAGGAGAAAGTTCTGCAGCTCCCTTGATGTCCTTGGGTGGCTAAGTGGAAGCAACTTCTGTCTGGGATGGGCTCCGGATTGTTGGTGAGAACAGTTGTGTGCCCTGTGGAATGCAGCAAGGCCACCGATCCTGGGTTCAGCTCCTGCCCTGGCCAGTTAAAAAGGGATCGGGTACCAGGTGACGGGAAGGACACTGGAGGGTCGCTGCTATTTGGAGCAGATTGTACTGGGCTCCAGGGGTATGCGGGCTGACCTGGCAGAAGGTTGTCTCCATTTGAGAGCAGTGGCAGGTTTCAGTCTGAAAGGGAAAGAAGCTTTCCGTGGTCCACAAGCAGGTTTGGCACTGTGGGAAGCAGCTTTACAGTTCAGGCTGAAACCCAGAGTGGAGCTGGTGCCCTGCCGATACTGGGGCCACCGGCTTCCACTGGCCGCCTCCTGTGCAGTCCCCAGCCATGAACTGGGAGCGTCTGATGCAGGCACTTTGCTTAAGCTGAGCAGGGAAGGGCCTGGCCATGCTGGACGGGTGAACCACCAGGAAGGAGCCCTTTGGATCTGTGACGGAGAAAGGCAGCTCTGAACTGGGGGCTGAACCGCTTTCAGCCGGAGGGCCAGATCCACTCTAGAGACGCTCTGGGGGCCGCATTCCCTGGTGGGGGTGGCTGCAGGCAAAAGGGCCGAGACAAAGGCAGAAGGGATCCCACCCCCATACCAACAATGCTTTTAGCTTAAAGCTCTTGCGGATGGGCTCTTCAGCCTTTTATAATGGGGAGCCTGCACAGAAACGGGCAGCCGGGGGTGTGTGTGTAGTGGTTAGAGTGCTTGTCTGGGGCTCTGGGAGTGCCGGGTTCTAGTCCCCACTCGGGCATGGCACTCGGGAAGTGACTTTGGGCCAACCACAGACTCCCGGGCCCTACCTCACAGGGTTGTTGCTGTGAGAATAAAATGCAGAGGAGGAGGAAGATTAGGTAAGCCACATGGAGTTCCTTAAAGGGAAAAAGGAGAGAGATAAATAAAATAAATAATTAAAGGGAAGGGGTGAGGCCCAAGGAAGTGGGCACAGCCATCTGGGGATCCCTAAACAGCAGGATTGGGCCCTGAAGCTCTGTGTCCCTCCTAGAAATGTAAAAGAGAAGTTAAAAGTTGAATCTGCCTGGAATAAACGTTTGTGCACAATCAAGTACAGGTTTGCCACCAGCTGGGCAGAAATCAGTAGACCAAGAAGTTCCTGGCAAGATGAACCTTACGATTTGCACCTGTGGAGCAAGTCCCCCTTCAAAGCTTCAGAGGCAGGTGAAAATCTTGCTCTAGAATGTGCCTTGGAGCCCGAGGTTGTGCTGTGGCTTTGCTCTAGGGACACGTCTTCAAGAGCCCCCTTCTTTCCGAGAAGAGGGAAACCTGGAGCCTGTGTTTATGCAGGGCAGAATTTTCTCTCGATGGAGTAAATGCTTTGGAAAACACAACAGCACCACCCATGGCAAGCATGGCCGAGCAAAAAGTCAACAATCCCCGCTTAAAGGAACCTGGATCAGCAAGTATTTGAGCAAATAATATTAAGGAACCAAACAGAGAACCGTGGCAGCATTCACTTGCACGGGAACACTCAGTTCTGTTTTGTTTTCCCCCAAGAGCCGGGGAAGCATTGAGAAGGCATCTGCCCTCGGAAAAAAGAGCTGGAAAGCACCTTGCAATTCACCGCATCCAAACCCTGGATCTTCTCTGCTGTTTACCTTCATCTCCTACAGCTAAAGCAGAAGAGCTGAAGTACCACACGATCTGTATAATTGCAGAATGGAGCCATTTCATACTGTCGGCAAGAAGCAGATCTGCTGGGATCTCTTGCTCTTCCGAAGGGAAGGACTGAATGAGAGATGCCACAGGACCTGGCTACTGCTGAGCTGCTTCTGCTTAATAGTAAGAACTTGACAAGAGCCAGAGCAAAAGCTGGCCCAGTTCAGCACTCTGTGCTTGCAGCCCGACCAGCTGCCTTTGGGAAGCAGGGTGCGAGCGTGACGCATCCTGGTGTGACCGGGCACCTTGGAGGCAATAGGCAGCCTTGTGACCAGTTCCACTGGCAGAGCTCTCCTCCACGAACAGGCATGCAGCAGCAGCAATGCCCAAGCTACAGGGCGCATTACTTTTGAGATGTGTCTGAAGGCTGCACACCAGAAAGGCTCGTTTCTGTGTGCAATGGAGGTCATCAGGGTCTGCATCTCTCTCTGTCCAGCTGCACTCTGTCATGGCACCCGAGCCTGGTAAACCTGGACTTACGGCACTTGCTGGCTCGCAGGAGATGCTCTGTGCCATTTGTACGATAACACACAGGCGATGCCTAACCTACTGACCACCCCCTGCTCCAGAGAAAAGAACATTGATCACAATGCAGCCAGAGTTAAGCATCTTTAAATTAGTCACCCACTGGTTTCAATGGGATATTTTTCAGGGTGAGTTCAGTTCTCCCACTGGAAGGCATGGGACACTAAATAGCATTTAACTTAGGATGGATTATGTCCTTTGCTGTTTTCGGGGGCAGGAGCTCAGAAGCCAGCCTCGGTCTCACCAATGCATCCTCATGCCAGCAGCACACACCGTGGCATTGTGGGAAATTCCGAGGCACAGGTGCTCCTCATCGCAGCCAAGGAGAGTCCAGAGGTTCAGGCTGTTGCGGTGATCCACAGAAGCAAACCTCTTCTAGCAGTTTGCATCCCCATCAGGAGCAGATCTTTTGGGAAGCTGGCAGGTCTTCATTGCCCATTCAGGACCAGCCTGGCCCAGAAGACTGTGCACTACAACATTTTGCAAACGGGGGAGGAAACCTCCTGCTTTTCAGCCACTGCGAGGGAGTAGTGCTGAACTCAGGGGGAACACGTGATCTGGGGAGAGTGGCAGATGATGTCAGCATGGTGCTTGTTAACAAAGTGCCAAGAGCCCTGGATCCATGGGCACACGGCATTTCCCATGATGCTGCACCGCCTGGAATGCTCCTGGCTGCTTGGTAGCTCAGCAGCAGCAACAGCTGCCCCCTTGGGCTATATGATTCTGCGCCAGATTCAGGTTCTGCGTTTGCAAGAGAAGAACGGTGAGGGTAGGAGTCTAATGGATGGCACTTTTTCAAGGGGGGCTGCAAGATGGTGGGCTGGGTTAGAGGATGGAAAAGAATTCGGAGTTAGCAGGAACTGGAAGGAAGCAGGTTATTTAGGGTGTCTTTGAGCAATCAAAGGGTGAAGGACTTGTTCATGTCTTTACTTGCACAGTTTCCCAAACTTGCTTTCACATTCAAGAGCGCTCACTTGTGCATATATACACTCTCCCCAAAATTCAGAGCTTTCAGCTTCAGCCTGTGGGTGTGGAAGTGCATTTTTCCCAACCGGGGAAAATATTTGTTAAAAAGCATTTTTTTCCCCGTTGGGAAACGCTGCTCGCTTTTGTGCATTTTTCCCAGCTGGGGGCAGTGCTTGGAGGAGGACTCATTTGGGAACACAAACGAGGCAAAGCGCGCTTCAAGGGAGACCTGGAAGCATCGCCACATTTGAATGTTGCTTGTTTGCCCAGCCTGTTCTGAATGTGTGCTCAGCACAGAAATATATGATCACTACCAAGCTTACTAGCTCCCCGCAAAAATCCACTCTGATTATTCCATTCCAGAGACTAATAGGCAAGGAAGAAAAGACTTCTTTGGTTGTTACTGTAGTCAGACAGTTGCAAGACAGAAATCCAGGTGATGCGCCGCACAGCAGCCCGGGTTCTGCAGGAGATGCTGGTCTGTCATCTGCCCATCCCTGCCCTGCTGTTCAGACAGCATCCTCTTGCAGTGGTCTATTTTCGTGCTGCCCTGGTTCTCCTTGACCTCGCTGTGATCCTGCCTGTCAGCTTCTTCCCCGTCTTCTCTGCATGAAGTTCACTTAGAGAACCTGCTGAAGGCTTTCAGGCGTCTGTGCAGTCAGTTTGTTGATGCAGCTGAAGTTTTTCTGAGCCACTTTCCTTTACTTTCCAATTAGGAGAATGTCAGACTCTGCCTGGTTCAAAGGGCCACCCCCAAGGACTGTCCTGTGGTGAGGATGTGGGGCAGTGGGGAGGGGGGAGAGAGAGCAAGTGAACAAGTGAGCATGCCTGCCTTCCTTCCTTCCTTCCTTCCTTCCTTCCTTCCTTCCTTCCTTCCTTCCAAGAATTGAGAGAGACATGGAAACCTCATGCCCATTGAGCATTTATGCCTATCAGACACTCAGCCTCCTCCATTAACAATTGCATTATATCTCCCCCTTTTTTCCTTTTGAAGGTGACCCAAGGGGACTTCATTTTATCTTCACAACAACTTTGTGAAGTAGGCCAGCCTGAGTCAGTGACTGGGTCACCCAGTGTTCAGGGCCTCAAACACAGACTTCCTGTGTCCCAGTCCAGTACTCTAGCCACTAGACCACACTGCCTCTTTCCTCTTGACATACTAGAGCACTGACTGGGAACTTCGGTCCACTAGTCTGCAGAATCTGTGCAATTCAAGAAAAGTTGGTCAGCTGTGGAATCTGCAGGATGGATTTTAATCCATTGTGAT